TGTACCTCCGCCCAATGGACCTGTCGCTATGACGTGCACTGACCACCAGGGAGCAGATGCTCAATGCAGGAGCTGCCAAGACACACACTGGTCATTTACACAGAAACTTCAGTGCAGACCTGATGCCAACAAAGCAACGCTCAGCTTCCCCCAAGTGGGACACAAGCCCCGCCACCACCCCGGAGTGACACCCCATCAAATCTCAGCCAATGCTGCCATGGCGCAATATGAGGCCACAGCACAGCCCAGCACAGTCTGGAAACAGTTGCTGTGCGAGCTGGGTAATGACGTCATATAGCAATGCCCGGCTTTCTCTCCCTAGCGACTAGCCTTGAAGTATGGTACCTATTTGCTTTGTTTAACAATGGACAGGTTACTTTGATTTTCTAAATTGTATAAGTCATCCCATTCGATTGAATGCCTTATTGATTGAATGACTATCCCATTGATTGTGATCTTACTGGTTATCGAAGCACATTCTTCTGTACCTGGGAAACAGGACAGCACAATTACCCTAAATTGTTTTAGTAGCCACAGGTGGTGCATTCCAGTTGACTCAGTGGTCCTAAGACCAGGACAGCACAATTACTCTAAATTGCCTCGATGGCTCTAGATAATGACTTGCTGCCAACTCAGTGGTTCGAGACCTGAGGGCTCTAGATAATGTATTTCTGTCAATTCAGTGACCCCGAGACCCGAAACTGTAATTAACATGCTTAATTCTGCTTCTGTAATCTGCTTTTTTGTGAGCCAGGTACCTCATTCCTAACCCTGAGATGTAATCAATACCTGTGTGATTTTTTGCCTATATAACCCTGGAACTGTGACCAAATGGCTACTATGAGATTTGGGAATGGCCCCTCATAGTCCCGGATTGCAATAAATGTGACTCTTTAATTCGACTTCTTGAGGCGTCCTTCTGTGATTCGTGGGGTACATTACAACAGCCTCCTTGGAGTTTCTTCATGTCACGTAGCAACGCCCAGCTTCCTCTACCTAGTGATTAGCCTCTTTGCAGTTTTTCACCCCAGGAACACAACTTGCTTTATAGTCAGGTGCAAACATTTCACTTTGACCAAATGTCTGTAAAGCATTTTCCTGTGCCTCATCTCATTTGACCCTCACAGAAGTCCTGGAGTAGGTAGATAGGAGACTCCGTGGAATCCTATTTTGTTTTCATTAGCCAGAAAATGGAAATTTAGAAAGCTTAGAAACTTGACCTGACTGAAAAGAAGAAATGGTGGACCTTGAAAATGACTTCAGGTTTTCTCACTGCCCAGAATATAGTCAAACACTGCTGCAGTAAAGTATTTTACCCTTTGTTCTCTCTCCGTGATCTACAATAATAATCTGTTTCCTGTTGATATTTACTGCTGTGTTGCTGACAATTACCTGAAAGAGAAGTTGGGGTGCTTCACTGGGCTGGAAAAAGTTTAGCTAAATCAGAAAGCAGGTCTATTTAAGCAAGTTTATTCT